CCATGAGTCCTATCTTGTGTAACTCATCGACGCGACTGCATGTGACGTTTGTATGGTGAAGGATGACTGTCAGCATTGGCCATGGCGGCAGTCGTCGTTCGGCATGTGCTAACCTCGCCGACCGACGATGTTAACCTTATTGCGATTCTTGTAGGAAGCACACTGAAAGTTGGCGCCTGAACAGATGCAAGGACGACCAGGTCGCGTGGAATCAGCGCCTGCATGCGTTGCCCCAGCACTGCACCCGCTCGGTCGTGTACGGGCCTACATCGCAGGCACTGGGATGTGGGCACCGTACACGAGCGAGCGGGTGCAGTCTCGACCAACGGAGCATGCCCCCTCCCCCTCTATTGCGACTTCTGGACTTCTGTTAACGCATGCGTAGACTATCAATCAAATATTGTGTATCTGTTCGTTTTCAAGCGCATGTAAGGGTAGACGCGATTAAAGGTCGCAACCGCACTAGTACCGGCAACGGAGTGCTACTACTGATGCGGCTTTCTAAGCGATATTCCCTGCTAGTAGTTCATTCACTGACTTGTTGGCATGCTTTGCCCTGACTTGTTGGCATGCTTTGCCCTGAACTACTTTTATCCAGGCGATTCTGCGGCTTGGTGACGTGCATCCATGCGAATAGAGTTCAATCGCTGTTTGGCAACCGGTGTGAAATATGATGAAAAACGCTAAATTATTTTGCGTGATCCCACTTTAGATCTGGTTTTTGAGTTTTGGGTTTAGCGTCAGGGGTGGGGGGATGCTCTTACTCATCATATATTGCCCGTCCAGACCAATTCCCGAGTGAGTGGGTGACACACCCACTCAATGGTCAAATGCCCACTCACTCAGGAAATTTGGTACTGTACTACAGTATTAATAAGGAGATATCGCATTGACCTAAAACGTCCATGAGTAAGTGGGTGGGACTTATTGAGAAAGAATTTTTGCCATCCATAGGACCAAACGTCACGGTCTGTGTACCTGTCTTGACTGAGACATGCCTCATCGAATGTAAGAGGATATATCAAATCTCCCAGGTCCTCTTGGAGTGGATCCAGAATCCAAGGTTTTTGAGTGAAAAGTTATTCCTGTGTACTTCTGTAACAAATCCAAATTGGGGAGCTCGTAGAGAGTAAGCTTTTCATGCAAAAGGTCATGGGTTCCATCACGTGTAGGGTTGTTTGTTTTCAACTTTTTTCATGTAGGTAATAGCAGTCATATCAATATCTTTCACACGTGTCGCAATGAAAACCAGAGCAAGAACTACTCCCTCCGTCCCAAAATACTTGCGTAGATCAGAAAAAAGCTGTACGGCTCCTTGAATAAAATTAAAAACTCTGCAAAACTTTATACTTTGCATCAACTTCTAGAGTTGTAACGATACAAGTGGCCAATGAAAACATGGGATCCAAGTGTCTCAGAAGCAATCAAACGACGAGATATGGAAAATCTGACAGTTCCAATCGATTCCGGAGGGGGGTTTACCTCAAGAACCCTCCTCCGGAATCGATTGAAAGGGGGGTTTACCTCAGGAACCCTCCTACCGAGCCCACCAACTTCACGCAATACCTGCAACATGCACCGGTATGCTTTACTCGTCATTATCTAAGCTGATTGGATCTATTCCAACTCCAGCCATCAACTCATCCACCGTTTCGTCGTCACATAGGGCAATGCGCTCGAGCTCCTGGACCAGCTCGTGCATGCTTCGAGCCTCGTCCAGTTCCTCTTGGAACTTCTTCTCCATGACGGTGCAGTCGACGGAATCCAGTGAGCGCTTGACACTGTCGTAGGTATCCGCAGGGCATCGAACGTTTTCAGGCAGGAGCCCCAGCCGCGCTTGCTTCTCCTTGGACAGATGAGGCACCTTGAACGCGTTGTCGCCAAAACACTTCATCGTTTCCACAAGGCACGCTTGGAAAGTCATGAACGTCCGGTCCAAACGCTCGAACGGGTACGTGTCGACTGCTGCATGGACATTGGTGATGAGGTCGTCCACAGTTCGGGCTGACGTGCGATGCTGGAGGGACTGGATGGCGGCGAAGAATCCAAGGACCAAGGATGTTCATGTCGGGTGAGTTGGGAAGTTGCGGATTGTTCGCGAACGTCCAATCAGATGTACTGTTGCTGGCGAAGGCTGCCAAGAGCTTCGCGTCGTCTGGCGACACATGTGCGCGCGCATTGTCGTGCTGCAGGTGGACAAGTCGCTTGGGGCATGACCACTTGGACACGATCGCCGGTAAGACCTTTTCCGCCAGGAACGCGCGGTATACGTCCTTGGTCACGGTCAACGCCTTGGTTTTATAGGTCCCTGCAGCTCGGTTGGCACTGTTGCGCTGGGCTTGGACGGACTCAACGAACGGCCAAGTTCCAATCTTGCCATCCCACCATGTACCCGTAGCGTCGTCGTACCGAGGTCGGGCCACGGCGCTGAGAAACATAATTTTGGAAATGTACCTCTTTGACTTGCACGTCCGTTGAGTTCCTTCTCGCCAGGAACCAGATAGTACCGTCTCGTTGTCTTGGTGATGTAGAACCATTTTTCGTCCAAATGGACGTAGTCCATCATGTCGTCGAACTCCATGTTCGCCCGAACGAAGTTGAATGCAAACTTCATGCGGCTGTACTTGTTGGCATCGGTCAAGCTGGGACGGATAGCATTCTAGTGCGAACGAAAGATCCCGAGCTTGGGATACCAGTGCAGGGAACCGCGACTTATTCCTATGACCATTTTGACTAATTTTATAGTATTGTCGTTGACGTATACCTGTCAGCTCCGAGATTTAGCGCAGTGTTGTGCGTGGGCGAGTGGTACTCGTATTATCTTTGCTTTCACCTGCTCGGCGGTATAGGCCCTCTTACTACGCACCCGACCCTTCTTTCTGTTCGCAACCGAAACTTTCATGTTGCCAGTGGTAACCCCTTGCTCCTTTGCCTGAGCAAAGACGCGGCGAATGGTGGAGTGATGGCAGATGTACTTCTCCGCAAGCACCTGCGCAATGCCGTTGGGCAATATGGCCAACGAGGTATTACTGCTGTTCAGCAGAATCTCCCGAAGGATGGCCTCGCGGTCATCGTTCGTCAGGTCACGCTTGTTGACACGCATTGTGAATGTTGATCACTATTTTATATGATTTAAAGTATGAAAATTTTGTGGACGACTTCTGCGGTGGTTCCTGTGTATTTTTACCTCGCTGACACATTTATCCATCAGATTTGTGGTATCCGGATTCATAGCAATATCAAAATTAATAATCCAATTTATTGAACTCAACGCGCAATGTCGAGGAGCAATGACCACGTGATGCGACTGCGGCGTCACAGTGCACATGTACGATAACACCTGTCGATTCTTAATTGGACCTCTGAAACGCCACCGACTGTTACAGCCCTACGTCGAATGGCCATGTGTCTTCTGACGCCGTCACCACAGCCCTCAACATCGCAGCGACAACCAAGTCGCCCCGATTGTGAGGGCGGTGATGGCGGCATCAGAAGGGTAAACGAATTGCACCACGTAGATTGTTTCGTCAGAGTCCACGTCACAGTTGGTACATGGTACGAGAATACTTGTTGTCACTCCCGTAAAGGATAGACAGGTAGATAGTAAATTCAGAAGTGATTATTTGAAGTTATTATCTCCAACGGGGTTCGCTTTGTAGCTAGCTAAAGAAATGCGTTCGCTCACTAGCTAAATGTAATCTACTTGGCTACGTCCGAATTCATATTGGAAAATGTATGTACGCAGGTGTTCGGATGTGGCCCAAAAGATGAAAACCTGATTTTTGGTCAGTATCAGGATTAAATATGGAGTGAGCCAATCAAAATCCAGGATTCGGGGGAAATCACAGTTCTCAGATGTCGGGGAAACTTGAAGTCCCTTGTTTAATGGTTTTCGCCGGACAACACTTCCCCCATGACTTACTCCAACATGAAATAGGCCTTGGCCATCTGCTCACAGAGGATCCCTTCTTGGCGCAGAACTTCTTGAACGTCACAGAAACGTCTTCCTTGATGGTAGCCGCTGGCTACCAGGAGTTCTCAACGTCTTTTAGGCCGCGCCACTTGATCAGCACTTCATCGGCCTTCTTGGCGGCCATATAGCGGGTATCCACAATGGCCTCCACTTCGTAGCCTTCAGAGTTGTGGGTCACGTGCTTTTTGAAATCTTCAGACACATGCAAACTCTTATCGGCGTAGAACTTGAGGCGGCTGGCATGGGCTTCCCTCTCGTCACCAGTGATGAGGTTCTTGACGTCGTATAGCCAGCTGCTGGCCACAGCTGTCACAACAGCTGGGCCACACCATGTGGTCCGCAACTTGGCCAATGGTGCTGCCACACGTCTTGATAGAGCACGTAATCTCCAACAACGAATTGGGCCATTTGCATGCCTCGCTTCTTGTTATGGGTCTTGCGGGCTCGGTCACGCTTCAACGAATTTGTCGCATTCATCTCCATGTGCATAGCATCCAGGGCCTTACGCGCTTGGTCGAGTTGCCACGTTGCATTGACTCGATCTCCGCCAGCGTAGCAGACTTGAGAGAGCCAGGAAGAATGATGGTGTCCAGATGTGACATGGCTGGACGGCCGGACATAGCGGTCACGGGGGCCACGCCGCCAAGGGATGGGGAGGGCAGCTGGTTCATGATGAGAATGACTACCACGTGGATCTCATTCCAATGGGTCGTAGCCATGCGCCACTCACTGAGGCATGCCCGAAACAGTAGTTGCAGCTGACGCATAACCACCTCGACGGTCCCATTAGCCCATGGACAGCGAGCAGTGGTGAAATGGTGGTGGGATGCTGCAGTTCAGCCATGACCTGATTCTTGAAATGGGTACCTTGATCGGAAACCCACTCGTAGCACACACCAAACACAGCAAGCCACTGAAGCAGACAGTCCTTGGTAAACACAGCCGTGGCTTCCATTGATGGAAATAGCCACACCAGCTTGCTGGCATCACACTTTATCACGAACAGGTACTTGTCGCCTGTCTTGGAGTCTCCCACAAACAGATAGTCCCAGTGCAGGAGACCATTTAGCTTGGCAGAGTGTAGGGCTTCCCCCAAAGGTCTGGGTGCACCACCAGATACGCTAGTGCAATGCAGACAACGGTCCACAAAGTACTGCACGTCCTTCTCCATGGTAGTCCACCAACAAAAGGCCACCAAGCTGTCCAGGGTTGGGCCTGAGGCTCGATGGCCAGCTAGGCTAGCATGGGCACACACACAGACGTAGCTGGAGCTCGCTGGCTTCATCTGGCACCCACAACACTTGGTTGACTAGTCGCAGCTGCCACAGATCACCGGTGTCCAGCTTGATTTGATGATCGGCCAGCTGGCTGAACTCTAGGGATAGAGCGGCGATGGTGTTGGTGTCCAGGCTGTCACGTTGGGCAGTCCCAATGGCTACAAGCGTAGGCCACTCGAAAGGGCTGCTCCGCAAAGGTAACACCTTCAGTAGCTCTTGACTGATGGCACAAATGGACTTCAACGGCGATCCCTAACGCGAGAGCAGATCAGCCCACACGTTTGTCTCCCCGGGGATGCCGTGAATCTCTGTAACTCATCAACAGCAGGGCCCAGCGTTCCAACTTCTGGGCGGTGTACTTTGGTACAGAGGCCACCACAGCTGTCGGGTTGATTATGAACTTCAGGTTCCGATGGTCAGTGTAGAGGTTGAAACCAGCGGCAGGATGCAGCAGGTGGTCAGCCCACACCACGATGGCATAGGCTTCCTTCTCCACAATGGCCCAGCGTCCAGCTGCCCCCGTGAATGTCCCACTCAGGAACATGAGGGGCTCGTGGGATTGGGCTTCAAACTTCCGATTCAACTGGTCGGGTGGGACTTGGGTGATGACTGCACCCCAGTGTTCTTCGGAGGCATCAGCGAACACACAGAGCCGCATCTCTGGCTTGGGGTGGCTGAGCTCCACCACCTTGGCCAGCGCCTTTTTGGTGGCTTCCAGTGCGGCCACGTGAGTGTCGTTCCAGCCAACGTCCGTCAGCAGCACAGTAGCCGCCAGCTGCTTGGTGCGTTTCCCCCCGACTGAAGAAAACACACGTTCCAGCACAACTGTCAGATCCCGTACCAACACGTTGAAACCAGGGATGGACATATGCATCCAGTTGAGGGCGCATACATACTGCTGGAGGTCGGCACCAGTCTTGGGCTCGGGCAGTCGCTGTAGAGCGTCCACTCGAACTAGGTCATGCTTCACTCCAGCGCCGCTAATGATACGGCCACACCACTTAGCTTCTTTTGCGAAGAATTAGCACTTTTTGGGTGTAGCTTCAGGCCACGTTTGGCGCAAACTTCAAGCACTTCAGCTAGGGCCAACTGAAGGCCAGCTGGTGTCTTGTGATAGCCCAGGAGGTCGTCCAACCAGGCTAGCAGGCACTTGTACAGCTGCTCAGCGAACATGGCTTGGACCGTAGACTGGCAATAGGCCACACTATCGCTACCACCTTGCATCACCCGATTAGATGTGTAGACATCAGTGTCCGTAAGGAACGAGAACATCCCTTTGGCAGCTTAGATCCGAGGAGAATTGCCAGTAGCCCTTGAAGAAGTCCAACATGAAAAAGCAGGTGGCTCCACGCAGGTGATCCACCACAACTTCCAACATGGGCATAGGCCAGGCAATCTGCTCCGTCTGGCTGTTGACTGGGCGTAGGTCCACCGCCATACGGAATTTGTCCTTGGTATGAGGCTTGCGCACGATCAGAGGGGCACACGCCCATCGGCTGGTTGGGTTTCGATAGATGAAACCAGCCTTCTCTAGCTCTTCCACATGCTTCTGCATGAACTCACGCTGAGGGAGGGAATAGCGTCTAGCCTTGCAACGCACAGGGTTGGAGTTCTTTGTCGGATGCACCTTCAAAGGTGGCATGTCCACCGGTGGGTCGCGGCCAAGCGTAAGGCGGAAAACGTCCATATACTTGGCTAGGAGCTTGGATAGGCCCAGGGCAAACTCAGCACAACAGCCAGCTACCAGAGTTTTACCACCCTGGCATCCAGTATCGCGTGAACCTTGGCTTGTTCTACAGCTGGGTCCACCGGCGTCATATCGGGAAAACAGGCGGCCAGCTCCATGGGCACCAAAGCTTCTTCCTCTTCGGCTAGATCATCCACCAGCTCTTGCTTGGTCGCCATCATAACTGTCTTCACCACACCACACCACTGGTAGACTCCACGTATTCCATGTCGTATTCGCTGAACACCGCGGCAGCTTCACGTAGCATAGACTGCGGGTCGTAGCCTAGCTTGTGCATGATAGGACGGCTAAGCAGGATGTCACCCACACCAGCTGTCAGGTTTCCGACAAAGAGCCAGCACTTGACGTTAGCCAACACCAGGGAGCTAACATCGGTCTCGAACTTGAGCGTCAGCTTAACTTCTTGGGTCACCGTATGGCTGGGGCCCACAAAACCTCGGACCAAAACAGGTGTCGGCAGATCCGTCACGACCACGTCACGCCCGGCGTCCTTCAACAACTGGAACGTCTTGGGAGGGATCACGCTCTGGTCCGCACCACTGTCGAACGAGGCATCCAGAGCTACAGCCTGGCTGGCCGTGCAGACCACACGCGCAGCACACAAGACGGCCGATTATTCACTTGGCTCAACTGTCTTCACCTCTTTGGCAATGGTTACCGCCTTCTCCATCTTGCCTTCGCCTTGGGCTTCGGCCCAGATGGCCTTGGCCCGATCCATCAACAGACGGGCTTCGCCATCGGCCACCTTGGGACACTTGAACACGTTGTGACCAGCGCTCAAACATTTGAAGCACTTCCCGTCCTTCTGGGTGAAGTGGTGATAGGGACCCTATCCACGTTGACAACGGCCACCGTCTTGTCCCTGCCACCACGGCCTCTCCCACCTCTTCCGCCCTTGTCACCCTTGTCATGGCTCTTGTCAGGCGTAGGCGTCGGCCTAGGAGGCAGAGGGGTAGCCTGTACCAATGGATCGAATTCGCCGTAATGACGCATATATTCGGCGAGCCAGTTCTTGAACGCTCGGGCATCCTTATTGTAGCTACGGTTCTCATAGAGCTTCATGAGCTCACACACACGCTTCTGCACAGCAGGTGGCATTATGGCAGCCATCAGGAAATCCACCGTAAGCTTGGGCTCAGACTCAGCGAAACCTTCCATGTTGAGAGAACCAGCGTAGCCTCGAAGTCGCTAACCAGCTTTGAGACACGTGATTCGGATGAGAGGATTGAGGTGTCCATTCTGAGCTTCCCCATGGCTTGGTTGAGTTTGGTCAAATCTACAGGATCTCCATTGCGAGCTCCAAGGCAAAAGTCTTGCCAGTCTTCCCCGGTTAGCTCATGGCTTGGCTTGGCAATCTCCCAGAAGGCGACACGCTCCACGGACAGCAGGTCAATACAGCCGCTGAGAGGCATCTGGTAGACTTGCTGTCCACCGGGTCGCTGGGCATTGGCGAGACGGATCTTACGCATGTAAGCCTCATACTGGTCCATGAACCGACGCTTCTGCACTTTCGTGCTTCAATTAAACGTCGGGGCCTTGGGCACCTCGTGGAATCCATAGACCATTTGTACACCCAGTGACGCAGGTACTTGCACAGAGAGTGGCGGTGGGGCAGCCGCAAAGGCATGCCATCTGGCGCTCGTACGGCATCGCATGTCTTCCAACGCTTAGGCTTGCATGACAGAGGACGCAGCAGCTGCTCGCAGTCCTTGGTCATGGTATTCGGTGGTCCGGCGTTGGGACTCCAACTGGGCCATCAGCTGGTTTTGCAGGTCACGCTATAGGCCAGCTCAGCCATCAGCTTCTGGTTGAGCTCCATCTGAGCGTTGGCTTGCAGTTGTTGTTGCTGGTGAAGCACCATCAGCTGTTCGTATTTTTGTTGGCTTTGAGCACCTACAGCTTGCTGCACCGTGTCCAGCCGGGATGACTGTGCGTCCACGGCTGGGTGATTATACCTGCTGGCGCAGCTACTGGACAGCATTGTCAGGAGGGTAATGGGCATACGGTGCAGCGGAGTCGTAGACAGCCTCCTGGGATCGGGTACGGGTCAGCACAAGGCCAGCCCCAGTGCGCGGCGACAAGGGAGTAGACGAAGCATCTTTGTCCATGGTCACGGCAGGGAAAAAGTAAGAACGCGCCTCGTCGACTAAGGCAAGCGTAGGGAACTCGGACACGAAGTGTGTCCGCAGGAGCAAATTCACTAAAGAATTCATTGTTGTCACTCCCGTAAAGGATAGACAGGTAGATGGTAAATTCACAAGTGATTATATGAAGTTAGGTTCGCTTTGTAGCTAGCCTAGCTAAAGGAATGCGCTCACTATTGTGCTTTCGAGTGAAATTTCGTGTTGTGGCGTGGTTTCTCGTTGGAATTTAAATCGATTTGATTGGCTACTTCAGAAGAGCTCAACATTATTAACCAATCAAAATCTTCTAAATGAAATTCAACCAATCAGATCGATTGTGGATCGGTTTGGTCGGCGCGATTCGATTGCACCCCCTCCCTAAATTTGTATCAAATCGACAATAGCTAAATGTAATCAAATCTACTTGGCTACGTCCGAATTCATATTGGTAAATAAATGTATGTACGCAAGTGTTCGGATGTGGCCCAAAAGGTGAAAACCTGATTTTTGGTCAGTATCAGGATGAAGTATGGAGTGAGCCAATCAAAATCCAGGATTCGGGGGAAATCACAGTTCTCAGATGTCGGGGAAACTTGAAGTCCCTTGTTTCATGATTTTCGCCGGACAACACGCATGCTGTGATAATTCATAAGCTCAAGGGAGTGCCCTCTTTTTAGATGAATGAGATAATTTGCGGCGTCGAACTATCCGGCATGCGCATTATTCAATCAAACGTTACAGTAGAAATCTATCATGTCGATAGATTTCTACTGTAACGTTTGATTGAATGTGATATGATAGTCGGTCGTCATGTGGGATTCATTTGGTGCCGCACTCGTAGCAACGACATGCAGGAAGTCCGATGGTCATCCGCCCCGCAGCTTACAATGGGTTAATGTACCTGATCACAAAGAGCGTTCCTCGACCATTCTTCAAGGAACGTATGTGCGACAATCGTCAGATTGATCGGCTTGTCTATGACGCAATGCAATGATGGCGATTAGCCAATCAAACTGCCTATTCTAGTGATAGCCTGCTAAACTGTAATAAGCTGGAGCATTCGCAGTGCTGCTAAGCTTTCTAACGCACATACCATTGATGGCTACAGCTTTAATTGCAGTTATAATGTAATATCAAAGCATGCACAACCTCATTCAATGCGCGGAGCCATAGTCGATATAATAGGAGGGTGCTTTTCACAACAAGGTATGCTCACATTAAAAAGAGTGAAAAAGTATGGCACAATCTGGGCTCGAACCCGCAACCTCTGGCCTTATAACTAGACACTTAACCATCACACTATTCAGACGACATGTTGTTCTTATGGCTCGGTCCTATATAATGCACACGGCACGTTGAAGGAAAGGTGTAAAAAGTATGTATCTCATCACTGCTCGTGTCACTTTTGGTCCCGTCACCACGACCACCAAGGCGTCTACTGTACACCAACCCAAACACCAACTCAAACACCAACTCAAACACCAAGCTTGAAGGTATGGTATACCCGCTAACGTAAGCACCAATGTACGCCCCTCTCCATCGAGGTCTAAATACTAGTAGTAGTATGTGGTTAGCGATTCGCTTGTCAACAAAGCCCAAACAAAGCACACTACAGTATACTGTAGTAGTATAGAGTTTACAATAATTGTTGAGGTGTACTGTAAGATTCATCAGAATAGCCTGACGGTTAAGCTTTCAGTTCGTAAGGCAGAGGTTGCGGGTTCAAGTCCCGTTGTGGGTCGACGTGGCGAACATGGTGGCGCAGGTCGCGGAGGGGGCACGCGGTCACGGGGTTGCGAGAGGTCGTGATGTGGGGGTAGTAGTCGTGATCGTGGTGGTGGCAGGGGCCACCATCGCGACCAATATCAAGGCGTTCAGGTGTTACTGCGTTGTCACTCCAGCTGTCGGTAAAGTCGTACGTAACA